TTTTAATATTCGAATACAGTTCGAAAACACCATCCATCATCTTCTTATTTTTCTGCAGGGCTCCGACATTTTGCAAATATCTGAAAACATGTTCTCTTACTGCTCCTTCTGTTTCATTAGTCTGTTGTTTATGAAAAACGCACATTATATAAAATTATATTTCAACTCTGTATGAATCAGTTTTTATGTAAGTGAATAGAAGAATGAATTTCAGAAGTTTCTTTTTAAACAAAGAAATAGAGCTTTTCTTTCGCCGCTACTCTTGACCATGTACTCATTGATGGTGATCACGAATACATGAACATCCATATTCTTCAGACGGAGACAGCAGCTTAAATGTGCATTTCACTGTAAGATTAGAGTTATATAAGGCTCCTTCCCCTGGTCTTATTCCTTAGAGCTTACTGTAGTGTGGAAATCCTTGCATCGCATCGTAGGAAAGCATGAAACAAGTTAGTTGATTCGCACTATTGCAGTTGCTATATATGGTATTTATTGCTTGTATTGTCTATTGCAGTCGACCTACCCTATCTACCGACAAAATATTATTCATTGTTAGTGCAATAAACTATTGTTATATAGCTTTTATAATTCACAAGTGAAAGAGTTAGATTCACAAATGAAACACATGCGGTGGCAACCTCTTCAAACATTGCGACAAGTTTATGAAGGAGTCAAAAGGCTGAATTATCTCCTCTAAACCACTAGTTAACAATAAGAAACTGTTTGACGAGGTATGATTTAGCAAGGTAATGGAGAATTCATTACAACTGAAAAGAAACTTTTGTTGTTTTATGACTAATTTGGAATGGTCGAAACAAATGTTGCATCATTTCCTTTGTACAAACATGAGATATCAGAGAACTGTCATTACTAAAACTTGATAACGTTTTCAGCAACTTTGAATTTCTAGTAGCTTTGTCAGCCCTTTAAAAAGTTATTGCAAGTTACAATAGCTCGAAAGAAAATATATATAAAATTAATACATTGTTTACTAGACTAATTATGATAAACGTACCGCATTCAAAGTGGTAAATGCGTCAAGCGATCCTGGAGTAATCTAAAAGAACATAATAACAGTGAAATTTCAAAGGATTGCTAACTAAATGTTATACAGATAAAAGTTAATGTATGAAATCTGGTCTTCTGTAGAGTACACTACTCAACATATGCTGTTCATTCAGTGTGCCATCGGATATTTGTCAAGAAGATAAGTGTAGTCAATTCAGTTGAGTTTTCGAACCACTTCAGTGATGCAACCTGATGATTTATAATCTATTCAGCTGCACGGCTTTTGAATATCGGTGCATAAACGTTCCCTTAATCTGTAATGGTTTATTTGACTGTTCCATTCATTGTTATAGAATTATAAGTTTCTACTACAACGAACAGGACAACAGGTTATCACATTTACGATGCACTAATTTATAAAAAAGTCAGTCAGCGAATTCAGAATAATTGTTGTGAAGAAATGTATAGTGAAATCGAATATCATTCAGTGATGAGACAAGAAGAACATCCACCAATTAGGACTGAACGATAGATGTCAGAACAGCATACTTAAATCAGTGAGAAGCTAAATAATGCGTCACTCGAATGAATTCTAATTTGTTCATGGCAAAATCTGAATCTCTAGAAATCTGATATCTCAAATAATCAAGAATTATTCATCAGGTCATTGTATCATCCTACAATAGAATTCGTTGTGAAGCTTTGTGATTCAAATGATTCAATAAGAAATAAAATCTGAGTTCCGTTAACTTACATAAATAAATGGTTTGCTACGTGGTGAATCAGCTGGAACAAGCTTCATTGAGAACAAAGGCGTCGTTTCATTTCGAAGAAACAACGCAAGAATCAATGTATTGAGATCGAAATTCTTATCCAGGAAGTGTTCCTCCATAACATTCATCTCATTTTCATCCACAGACATTAACCATCCGTGATAAGTGTGTTTTAAAAATGCAGAGAGTTTCGCCTTCTTCAACTGATTTGACTCGGAACGAGCTTTTTTGCAGCTTTCGTAGAAATAATCATTTATAAACTTCATACCCGGGTAATTTACATTTCCCACTTTAAGTTAAAGTAATCAGTAAAAATGAGTTGCGTCAATTAACTTTAGAAAGCAGTTATTCTTTTGTTACATAGTTACATTTGAATAAGTTCATTCTACTGCACAATATGGAAATTCGATAGTACCGCAATATTTCATTCAAACATATCTAACACTACTGCTGATATTCTTTTATCTCGAATATCAGTCATCAAAATTGTGCATGTGAAATGATAGTTGGAATGTTGTTCTTTAGTTTTAAGTATGAAACTGTGAGCATGCCAATACTTTGATGTTATTATTTTGATATCGTACTGCGTAATTAAATGTTCAAGACATAACTCGATTTATACACAGAACACTGGGAAATCATGATGACGAACGATCACAGTTTGCTAAGATATTCATTTAAATGACATTGCGTGTGTAATTGAGAAAAGATAATCAAAACAATCTGCCTAAGATACAAGCTTACTCGAAAGCCTGATCAGACTGACATGGTAAGAGAAAATGCCCGCTCATAAAAATATAGACACTTGATTTTCACACATATTCAAGTGGCGATAAAGACCGAAATCTTGTGAATGTGTGGTTGATATATGTTGGTATGATGAGTGAATGAACTAAAATATTGTGCTAGTTCACACTTGTTCTAAACAAACAATAAGCTTTCGATAGTTTTCCTGTCTTATCTTGTTTACCATTGGTTTATCGGACAACCGACATTTCAGCCACTGGATTGCCTGAACTGTATAATTTTAATAAAAAATATAGTTTTACTGGTGATTTTTGATGTTTATGGTCACGTTGTGAAACTAATTTTTAACTACATCATATACCTAATAACTGACAAAGACGGTATCTACTTTAACATTTATTGTTAGACAAAGTTATGTCCGTTTTATCCATGATATGTTGGTGAAATATTGCTTATGACGATTATCTGAATGAGAAACGTTGATATATTGTATTCAAAACATAATCAAAACCTAACTTCTAGTAATAATGTTCGACTTCATTTCTATGTTGCTCATTAAATAATGACCGGACGTACTGAATGATAATTAAATGATTAGTAGAAATACAAAAAATGGGTTGTATTTTAAAGCAGGTAAGGATCGACTTGACATCAAAGAGATTTAGACTCATCACGCCATAGTAAATTCAACACACAAAAGTATATGAACTCACACATCTCGAGGATAACGTCATCTGGTAAATTATGTATGAGATCGTTGAAATCACTTGGTATTTGTTTTCGGCAAACAAATTGCTCGAAGTCGTGGCAAATTTGAGTGATATTATCTTTCGTATCCGCATCGTTAACTTTGACATTTAGTAATCGGAAAAGAATATCATAAGAAGTAATATTAGGCCTGGTATTCATTACAATTCTAAGTGAAAAATCCCTTTTTAAATCGAAATAATAAAACATTTCTGTCAATTATTTCATGTTTACATTCATAAGCCGCCAGTATTTCTTCGTTGTTTTTATACGCAGATATTGCGTATATAAATATAAATTTGAGTGTAAATACATCTGTAGATTGGTGCTTTTTCGATTCGAAAAAATCAATCTCTGATAATTATTGCTTATCCATTCAGTTGGATTTATTGATCAACTTTTCATCATTCAACAAGCTTGTTATACATGTGACATCACACAAACATGTTCAACAGTGATACGATAGACATTCTTTATTCATCAAGGGTTGACCGAGTAATCGATTCCAACGTCATGAAAAAGATTTTTCACAGCAGTTTTTGTCAAAGAATTCTACGTTTTACATTTTGTGATAAGGATTACAAAATTAGTCTAAACTCTTATCACTAGGCTATTTCTCAAAACAAATATTTTTTTGTGAACTTGTCGATGTCACACGCCTGAACTATTCCATGCGACCACCTATGTTAGCGATGACAAACAACATACATTTTACTTAGCGTAACATTCTTACTGAACATAAAATGCTCTGAGTAATCTGTGAATTGTATCCAATGTACGTTTCGTGCGTTCTACCGGTTCATCACAACGTATATTTACGTCCTAGAATGAATGGACCTGCGCTGTTATATGTTTCAGTGGAAAAGTCGATGCAGTAGTCAGATAATCAAACCATAAATCGTCGACTGATCTAAAAATTAAATTCAGATACATTTAAAACGTATGATAACTTCTAAGCTCATGAGATATGGCAATAGGAAATAATAATGTTACTACAAATTATTATGTTAAAACTCAATGGAATATTACATGATACGATAAACGAATATGTCGGAATTCCCTACATAATAACTCTGACAACAACGATAAGACAAAAATCATCTTGACTCTCCCGGAAAAAAGCTGAATATGGGCATAATGAATAAATAGGTTCACATTGAAATGCCTCAGGATTATTTGGGTAATTCAATATCATATACGTTATAAAATAACACAAACAATGGAAACAAGAATGAATTCAACTTACCAAATAGCATAGCAACTGAAGGTATTTTCAGAAAATATGAAAACAGGATTGTCCCTGTAAATACTGAACATAGTAAACTTATGACAAGAATGGCAATGACAATCTTTTGCCTTTTGGACAAATCTGATAGACGCATCTTATTTTTCATAAACAGACGTTGATAAAAACCTGATTAATTTAGAGTATATATATGTCGACGTAAATTAGATTTTTAAAAATATTGCAAAATAATGAAATAAAAATAAAAAAGACAAGGTCACGGTAACAAAAATAATAAGAAAACACATGATAGAACATAAAATATAGAAAAATTATGAAATATGCTGCGGTAAAATGAAAACTATTCATTTTCATATACGACTTAAGATGTACTGATTATCTTTGCAATGATTCAAGGTCAGGGTGACTGAAATAATCAGGAATTTATTCTTATCATATTGATTAGAGTACATTGATTAGATTCCAGAATTATAATAATGCGCACATTAATTATTCTTTTCTTCATCTAAAATAAAAAAACGTAGTCAATAACACAGTATCTAACAAGAAAACAATTTCACTATCTACCGTAATACGGAAAAAATACAATTTTACTAGTGGTATCTACTCCACCTTAAGCCTATGTGAGTTGACTGCTTGTCCGTGTATGGGTGATTTAGCAGGTTTGTGCATTTGGTTAGAAACAAAATATCGTATAGAAGCAACTCCTAAAAGAGAAGCTGAAACAAAATTTATTCAATCCACTCAAACCCTTCCCCTGTAGTTGCAAGTTTTTCATTTTGGTGAGTTATGACTTCTCATTATGAAAGCCATGTTTTATTTGGAGGCGATATGACGATGTCTTTTCTGACAGACAAGTACCAATAATATCGAGAAATTCAATGTTCATATATGTCAGGAGAAGTGCTTCAAAATGCTGTGGAAATAAATAGATACCAGCTAGTTGTACATATTTTCGACGTAACACATTGGACGCAGTTTGGGCAATAATTACTAGCATCAGAAGAACTGCTTTTACACTCTGACCATGAATGTTTACAAACAGACACCTGAGACATGAGACATGTGAATCTCAAGAGCTCGGGGTCTTGAACACCTTCAATAAAATGAATAACTGGATAACAATAAATAAAGATATGCGTATTTAAACGAAAACAGCGGGGAGGAAAATGAACAGTTTCATGAGACGCTGTAGTCAATCGTTTAGAAATCTCAAAGAAATGACTTGAACTTTCTGATGATAGAACTGAACACCAAGATTGTAGCCGACAACCTGCTGACAAACACATCATCGGGAGACGAAGACTGGGAAAAGAAGACACAGTCGTGAACCTCGTTAAACTGGTGGTGGGAAGGAACATTTTCTCTCACAAAAGCATTCACATAGCAACGTCCCTTTCAACAGACTGTATTTCATAAAAATTCGTCGATCATATCTGCATCAAGTAGGTGTCTAGAAACCGCAAAAGAAGTGTGGGTAAAACAAAAGGCTAATAAGGCTTCAAACATTTACTTGGTACTGGTCATAGCGAAACTGATATTAAAACCATAGTCCATTCTTTCAGTTACAGGCAGCAAACTTGTGACAAAAGTACATTTACTTTCGGATTTTTAGACAGGTAAGCGTAGATGGATTTCGGTTAACAGTGAAGTCCGTGCTTGGTTATGTTTTCGATTAAGTTCCTATAACAAGACAATCTAAGACATGGACACCGTTGATTTCTACCTGGCACGGTTTCTCATTACAACTCTGAGAATCCAATTTTGAAGATTGTCACTTGCGACCGCATGGTAATTTTCATTTAACGGTTATGGAGATAAATAAGTTAAACTGAAGGTGATCTAAGTCATCATTTCAAATTTTTAGTGAAACTCCACAACCATTACAACCTTATAAAGTTGATAATAATTTTAAATACATTTTCATTATGGATCATGACTGAATATTATTACATTAATTCTGTGTAGACTGCATTGATATTGCCTTTCGGTTGCAAGCATTGTCAGCAAGCGTTAGCAGCTGTTAGAAATGAATAGCTAGGCAGATTTCGTGCTAGTGTTTAAAGTGAACATTACGGCGTTCCAGTTCCTGGCAAACTGTAAACTATGGGATTAAAAGGTGATAAGTTCGTTACTTAGTATGCTTGAGGCTATTACGAGTTTACCTTAGTCGATAAACGCGAACGAGACTTTTACCAGCTTACAGGGAGGCTACCTTGTCTACTCAAAGTCGAATAAAAGGCTTTGTAAGCGTAGAAATTATATTCTACAAACACACAGCAATCACAGTACGATCAAGCATACAACTCTCGTTTATTTATACAACATAAGAACGTCCTTGAGACAGTTAAGAAAATAGCATACTAAAATACACTGCAGCCAATGACAGCCATGGATTTTCGTGGTGGGAATTGAAATCTCAAGGTCATCTGATCAGCCCATGCTGGCAAAACGTCAAAACCAAAATACGGCATTATCAAGCGAATTTTAGGGACCTAACATCCCCAACACTCCTCCCCTTTTTAATAGCGTGTTCTCCTGAGGTCGACTTGCATCTTGACTATTGTTCGCCGCTGTCTGAGGGGATACATTCGGGAACGAAGAACAGCTTGCTGCTGAGTTTATTCTCGTGGCAGGGCTCTCGGTAGGTTGAAGGTATCAAGCAAGATGTCAAGGGAAAGGCATCTGCTCTTGATGAGCGATCTGGGGCTAGCCGTCTGCGTATCTGATTCCGGTGACGTGACCATTTATCACCTCCCACCTCCACTTCGTACATAACTCGACCAACCCTTCTGACCACTCTCGCTTCTACCCAAGGACCATGATTCGTTCTGTAGTCGCGGGCAAACACAGGGCATCCTACTTCGTAAGCGGATTGTCTTTGCTGCTTTGTCTCTACTGATAAGGGTGCATTAGTCGGATGCATCAGGCTGTGGATCGTTTTCAATCTTCTTCCCATCAGGATTTCAGCTGGGGAGCTTTGCTCCGGTAACAATTCATTTGGTGTTGTCCGATAGACGTACAAGAAATTTTGTAACGCTTCGGCTGGTGTTCCCTCCCCTTTTGACTTAAGCAGTGCTCTTTTAAACGTATCCACAAACCTTTCCGCCTGCCCATTCGATTGCGGCTGGTATGGTGGCGAGCGTAAGTGTTTAATGGCTAGCCGTTGACAGAAATTCTGGAATTGGGAAGAGGTGAATTGAGAGCCATTGTCGGATACTATCACATCTGGTATGCCATTTCGTGAGAAAATTTCAGTTAGGAGCTGTATAGTCTTAGTTGTAGTGGGCGGCATAACGGGGCTAATTTCCGGCCATTTAGAAAAGGCGTCGACGACAATTAAATACATAGTTCCATTTATTGGGCCAGCGAAGTCGACATGTATCCTGGACCAAGGATGCTCAGGTTTCGGCCATGAAACTAGCGGAATTTTGGCATTCATCTTTGCCGCCTGCTGACACCGCATGCATTTTTACACCAACGCTTGTGACATGTTGATCCATGTGAGGCCAGTATGCATAACTCCTGGCTATGGACTTCATTATTTTAATCCCTGGATGACCAAGATGGAACTGTCTCAGCACTTTTGCACGAAGAGATGCTGGCACCACTACTCTTTCACCAAACATCAGACAATCGTTCACGATGCATAGTGACTCCCGCCGCTGGTACAGTTGCCTCATGTCACCTTCAAACTTTTTCGACGGCCAACCGTTAGTGACATATTTCATCGTCATCTTGGTGATGCGGTCGTTTCTAGAAGCATTTTGTATGTCTGTTGCAGACACCGGTAATGCGCGAACTGCGGTTGTCAGATAACATTCTGCGTGGTCTTCTACAGACAGAGATGCGATCACCATGTTTTCCTCAGCCGCCACTTGATCATTAATGAGTCGTGACAAAGCGTCTGCTTGACCGAATTGTAGAGTACGTCGATACTGGATTTCGAAATCATACCCCAAAAGTACCAAGTCCCATCGCTGAAGACGATTTG